GCTACTCCAGGTCGCCTACGGGTTCTCCGGGAAGTTGCACGGTCGGAGGGGCGAGGTGGACTGGAACCCAGTTCTTCCCCCAACACAACCTCCTCCTTAGGCCTCACCGGCGAACTGGTGCGACTTTCGCCAGTCCATCGCTCAAGACTGGCGTGGTATGCGCACTCATGCTCCAGGAGGGGTAAGTGCTCATCCTGAAAGCTCTCCCAGGCCATGCATTGCAGGGAATGGAGGGGGCATGGAGCGTCCCAGTCAATCCTTCCGTCAGGCAGGCGGTTGGCGGAGAGGGCCTTGTATGCTTCACTGAAGTCATCATAGGGGTTTGGTGGTAGTGGCGGCGGTTTCACCGATGGCCACTGCCGGCGAGGCAATCGGCGGCAGAATTCGTAAGGGTCTAGCCTTCCCAGTCATTAGAATTGACTGATCTGGGAGAGGAGGGAGGCTCCGGCGAAGAAGGAGCCGGTCCATCGGAAAGGTTCAGGGAGACAGGAATTCCTTCAGACATAGCAATAATGAAGAAAGGGAAACTATTTGGCGATGGAACAAAATGAGGGTTAAGGGGCTTATAAATAGGCCCAGGCGAAGGAACCGAAGAGACGGTCAAGTCTCAAGGCAGCTGAACCGATAAAGCAGCTTTGAGCAGCGCGAAGGTCCAATCAGAGATTGTGAAAAGCATTGGGTCAGTTGGGCGGCACGCTGGCCAATCCTGGGATTGGGCCTGGGCAGATAAGCAGGCCGGAATTAGGAGTTGGGCCCAAACTAAAACATACATGCAAATCAGCTAAGCTAGAGAAGAGAGGAAAACGCCGAAAAAGGAAGCACATAGTGGATCCAACGAATCAAGTAGCATGTGAGCATTGCATCAAAATGATGAGTCACTTCAAAAAAAACACATAACAACAACAAGTGTTTACAAAAATCTGGGGGAACAACGGGGAAAGTTAAACGCTCGAGCTAGGGTTGTCACCCGCCTTGGATGTGGCTAAGCTAGCCCCCGGATTTTGATCGCCTGAGCCGTCTTCTTCTCCTCCTTCTTCCTCCTCTTCAGACGCGCTTGAGCTCCCTTCGTCCAAATAAGGGCGAGGGTCGAACTCGGCCAGGGAGCGGCAAGGAGGGGGAAAGCCGAGGTCGGGGAGAGAGAATCCTTTGGGGAGCTGAGCCAGTCTGTCACGGAAGACCTGCTGGGCCCGGAAGAGTCCACAATTGAAGGACTTGGTGCCCTCCTTGACCATCCATTGAGCCCCAGGTTCAGTTTCGAGCCAAGCAGTCGTTAGCTCTTCCATCCGCTCCATCGCGACCACCGTGAAGTCGGGAGATGACTTGAAGGATTCTACCGCTTCCTCTGCATGATGGACCCGGTCGCTCCTCTCCCTTTCCAACTGCTGGATCAGATCAGTTTTCTCCCCCTCTAGCTCGAGCACGCGGGCAGAAACAGATTCTATCTTTAGGGACCAGGAGGCCTTGTCTGCTTCAAGGGCGGCACAACGGTTCTCCTGGGAAGTTTTCTCCACAGCAAGCGCCGCGCAGCGATTCTCTTTCTCCCCCAACTCCCTTGTGAGTCGAACGACCTCTTCCTGCAGCTCCTTCTGCGTGGCCTCGGCTGCTTTCATCGCCTCGTCCGCGGCGGCCTGGCGACCCCGTCTCCTACCAACCACCTCGATCATCCCCAGCGTGGCCTGCATTAAGGCATGGGGGTCAAGAGCGTAAAAAAAAAAGGGAAAAGGAGTAGAGGTAATATCAGCAAAGGTACCTGGCTTAGCCTTAAAAGGACCATGTTATCAAGGTCATCCTCAGAACCGGCCGAGATGCGAGCTTGGTCCTCAGTGGGCAGGGTGATCAGGGTCTCCAGTTGCACGTCCCCTAAGCTTTAGGGCAGAGGAGGGATGCAAAGCCTCGTCGAACGACCTCCGGTCGCCACCTCGTAGGTCACAGCGGGGGGCGAAGGAGGTCGCTCCGAGGCGACACCCAGTGACGACCCAGCGAGGTCGCCATCTGGCCTCACAGAGTGGGGGGGAATGACCAGTCACTGTACCCGTTTCCAGGGTAGCATCATCCTGGTCCTCCACCACGATTACAGCTGGCTCCTGGGAAGGACCCTCCCCGTGGTGGGACGAAGAGCGTTTGCCCTGGCCCTTCGTCTCTCTCTTCCTCTTCCTCCCTGCAGTGAAGCGACTGAGCAGGAGTTCGATGTCCATCTCTTCACCTGAATCTTGTAGTTCCACTGGAAACAAAGGAAATGGTCAGCCTCGGAAAAGGATAAACTAAACATATGGGTGAAAAGAAAAGGTCAATTACCAAAAGGACCACAGTCAAGACCTTCCTCAGGAATGTCCTTCAGCTGGTCAGGCTGATGCCCCCCGGGGGTGTCCCTCAGTAGGTCGGGTTGGTGGCGAAGCTCATCCTGAACAAACTCAAACCCCAACCCGGCAAGGGTTTCCTCTGTCACCACCTCCTTGATGTTCATAACTCCCTTATTGCAGAGTTGGCGAGTGATGGACAGGAGGGTGGCATCAGGTGGAGGGCATGGGATGCGGCGGAAGGAAGGGCGCCCTGAACCCGTGAAAGGAGATTCGGGCCCCGTCGAAACGAAGACAAAGAAAGGCTTCCAGTCTTTGGTTGAGCCCTTCTTGTCACTCGCAAAGAGTTTACTGGATCTCTGGGAAAGGCTGGCATAGGACGCCCAATCCTTATGGCCCTTGGTCAGTTTGAAGGTGAATATGAAATGGTCCAAGGTCGGTTTCACCCCCACAGCCTTGCATCGGACCAAGTAACCGGCGATGTACCGGTGAGAATTGGGGACCAGTTGGCACGGAAGAAGGTCCACCTCGTTGAGGTATT